TGAGATCATGCCACTGCACTCCAGCCTGGTGGCAGAGTGACTCCGTCCCCCCCACCAAAAAAAAAGAATAAATACAGCTTACTTTCCCGTCAAACTGTATAAGAATGCCCATTTCACCAAGACGGGTGGTATTTTTGTAGACAGCATTGGGCTTCACAGGCATTTCAGAAAGATGAAGCAGCATATATAAAGAAACAGAGGTAGGGATGTATCTGTAAACTTGGGGAATGATGAATAAGTAGTTCACTATGGCCAGAGTATGACTGTGGGTATATGAAAATATAGTGGAAGAAATGTCTAAGATTATGTTAAAAACTAGATAGTGGAGTACCTGGAATGCCTGGCCAGGAGTTTGGACTTCATTTTTAGACAATGGTGAACTATTTAGAATTTTTGAGCAGGAGTTGACATGATCTATATTTTAAGAAGATACCTCTATAGATGGCTGGAATAGAATCTGAATTACAGCAGAGCCATTGGGAATGGCAAAGAGAAAATTCATATAAAATATGATTCAGAGGCCAAATGGATAGGGCTGTGTGGGTTGAGGGGGAAAAAGGAGAAGGCCAAAATGATGCTTAGGCTTTAATAATCTGAAGATGGTAATATATTACCCAAAACAGGGAATAGTTTTCCCTTGAGCTTGTTCTAAAATCCTTTTCAGGGATGAGCGATGAAAGGAAGGGAAGAACATTGTAAACTTATTGAGTATGAGCATGTGTATATGTTGGTAGTAGGGTGATGTAGGTGGGGAGTTTGGATTTTTCAAGTAGAGCTGCCAAATTGGAAGTTGGACAAGAAAGTCTGTCACTTAGTTAGGAGGTCATTTTCAGAGATTATGAACTGGGGATCATCTACATAATGGCAATAGTTGAAACTGAAGGAGCAGATGAGTTTGCTTTGATATAGCAAACTCATGTAACAGACAGGTGGATAAAATAATGTAAGATATGAGGCTAAAGTTGATGTAACAAGATGAATCAAGATAGAAATGTGCCATTGCATATGTTTTCTGGGTCGTTGAGCAACTTTCCAACCTCTAATGCACTTTCTTCCTCCAATACATGAATAATTCCATACATCTGAAAACTTGATGCAAATAGTGTCTTCTCTGTGGAAGTTTAGACAGTTAGGCATTTCCTCCTCCCATAGCCATTTAGACATGTATCATTATACCACGATGTGTTTGTTGTATCGTTTAAAAATCTATCTAGGCTGGGCGCAGTGGCTCACACCTGTAATCCCAGCACTTTGGGAGGCCGAGGTGGGTGTATCACCTTAGGTCGGGAGTTTGAGACCAGCCTGGCCAACATGGTGAAACCCTATCTCTACTAAAAATACAAAAATTAGCCAGCGTGGTGGTGAGCGCCTGTAATCCCAGCTACCAAGGAGGCTAAGGCAGGAGAATCGCTGGAACCTGGGAGGTGGAGTCTACAGTGAGCTGAGATTGCACCATTGCACTCCAGCCTGGGCAACAGAGTGAGACTCTGTCTCAAAAAAAGAAAAAAACCTATATATATATATATATATATGCATGAATTTCTGTCTCTCTTCATAATTTTATTTTTTTTCCCCTTTTTGAGACAGGCTGGAGTGCAGTGGGGTGATCAATGTTCACTGCAGCCTCTCTCTCTCTCTATAGATAGATAGATAGAGAGATTTATATGTATGTATACATATTATGTATACATTATATATTATATAATATGTACATATACATAATATATATTACATAATATGTATGTAATATACAACGTATGTATATGTAATATATATTATGTATGTATGTATATGTATGTATTATGTCTACATCAACCCTAGACATAATTGCCATAATCAAATATAATATATATTATATATGTATTATATATGCATTATAGAAGTATGTATATATAATACAAATGGTATATAATGTATATTATATATTATATATTATGTATGTATATATAAAATATATATATATTTTTCATGTTAGATTGTGAGTGCCTTTAGGACAGGATGGTTTCTTACTATTTTTTGTATCTCCAGGGCCTAGATAATGCCAATCACATTGTAGATGCCTAGTAAGTGCTTGTTGAATGAATGAGTGAAGAGAAGCAGCTTTGAATTTCAACACTAAAAGAAGAGATGATCTTCAAGAGCAGCTTCAGTAGAGGAGAGAATTTAGAACACCTGCTGTAGGGAGTTCCTTAGAGAGTCAATAAGATATGAGGGAAATGGTTTCATTTTAAAAAGCTATCACTGGTCTACACCCAAGCTGACCAGTGCCGTGAATAGGTCATCAGTGAGCCAAGATATTGATCCTCTCAGCTACTTTCCCAGTTGGCCATACAAATATCATCATCTTCTATGTGTGCCACAATGGGAAAAGGGTAGGAAAGCACCTTTTGTTTGATTTGTAGACTACGTACTTCAAGTAAAGATTTGAGGGGTGTTATGGGTTGCATTGTGTCCCCGCAAAATTCATGTTGGAATCCTAACCTCCAGTACCTCAGAATGTGAACTTATTGAGAGATGGGGTTGATGTAGACATAATTAATTAAATTAAGATGAGGTCATTAGGGCGGGTCCTAATCCAACATGAATGATGCTCATGAAAAGGGAAAATTGGCTAGGCACGGTGGCTCACACCTATAATCCCAGAGCTCTGGGAGACCAAAGCAGGAAGATCACTTGAACCCAGGAGTTTGAGACCAGTCTGGGAAACAGAGAGAGATCCTGTCTCTACAAATAGAAATTAAAATTTGCCTGGTGCGGTGGTGCATGCCTGTAGTGCCAGCTACTTTGGTGGATGATGTGGGAGGATTGCTTGAGCCCAGGAGTTTGAGGCTGCAGTGAACATTGACCACCCCACTGCACTCCAGCCTGGGTGACAGAGTGAGACCCTGTCTCAAGAAGGGGAAGAAAGTAAAATTATGAATAGATACAGAAATGCATACAGGCAGAATGTCATGTGAAAATGAAGGCAGAGGTCAGGGGGATGGTTCTAAAGGCCGAGGAAAGTCCAAGATCACCAGCAAACTTTCAGAAGCTAGGGGAGAGGCATCAAACATTTTTTTTTTAATTAAAAGAACATATTTAATTGACACAGATTGTATAAACTCAAGGTGTACAGTGTGATGACTTGATGTATGTGCACATTGTGCAATGATTGCCATAATCAAATGAAATAATGCATCCATCTCCACCCGGGCTGTACCTTTGATTCCCAGAACCTGTTCATCTTATACCTGAAAGTTTACACTCTTTGATCAACATCTCCTCATTTACCCAGCCTCCAGTCCCTGGCAGCCATCATTCTACTGTCTGTTTCTGTAAGTTTGACTTTTTCAGATCCCACATATAAGTAAGATCATACAGTAATTTTTTTTTCCTGTGTCCACGAATATTTCTTCCTCACAGCGTGAGAAGCTAGTAACACCTTGATCTTAGACTTCCAGCCTCCAGAACTGGGAGATACAAATTTCTGTTATTTAAGCTGCTCAGTTCGTGGCACTTTGTCATGGCAGCCATAGCAAACTAACACAAAGAGAAACTCCAGGTGTGCCCCAAAGTCTCAACTCTTCATATATCCTCCCTTTTTTCCCTCTAGAAGTTATGTTCCTTTTGTTTATGAGTGATATAGATGTCAGTTCAACACATATATTGAGGGGCCTTTCGGTGCCACCCACTTAGTCTGTGCTGCGGATACGAAGACAAGACATAATCTCTCCCCAAAGGCACGTACAGAACATTGGAGTGACAGACAGGTAAAAATGCAATTTAAATATAATGCCTAAAATGCTGTGATCCAGTATGTATAGGACATTTTGGCAGCATAGAAAAAAGACATTTTGCTCATCCCAAGGATTCAGGAAAGACTTTCTGGAATAGATTGTGCCTGAGCTGCTTCTGAAGAAAAGGAGAAGTAAACCAAAAGAGAAGACAGGATATTCTAGGCAGAGGGAACACAAACCGAGATAGAAAGGAAGGTATTACAGATAAAGTGGAATGTATGGGAACTACAACTGTGGATAGCGCAATATAACCAGAGTGAAAATAGGAGGCAACGAATGCCAGGAGGTGAGGCTGGAAAGGCAGGGAGCACGGCCTACAGGACTTGTCTTCTGTCAGGGAACATTCATTTTACACTGCATGAAACTCAGTAGAAGAGTTATAAGCCCAGACTCGTTCATATTTTAGACAAATAAGTTTGGCAGCAGTATGAAAGATGGATTTGAGGGTAAAGGGGAAGAAAAGAGAGAGTAAAGGAGACCAGTTAGAAGGGGACAGCAATAGTCCACACCAGAGATGCCTGAACTAGAGCCATAATAGAAGAAGCAGAGAAGGGACAGAATCAAGGACATAGATGAAGTAAAATTGCTTTGACTAATTGGTTGCTTGGTCAGACTTGAGGAGGTCTCAGATGAATCCATCTGGGTGACTGTGTTGTGTGGCTCTTTACTGATGTGGGAAATTCTGAAGGAGGAACAGCATGGGGGAGAGAGTACTGAATTATTTGGATGTATTGAGTTTGGAGAGACTAAGATATGTGCAAGTGGGCGTGTCCAGATAAGTCTAAAGTTCTGGGAAGATGTTGGAACTAGAGCTAGAGATTCAAAAGCTATTGGCATATAAAGGTTATAGTTAGAGTCCTAAGAGTGGAATTATGGCACCCAAGAAAAAATAAAATAAGAGGAGGAATGGGCAGAGGATAGGGCCTTGGGAAATACCAACATTTTTGGGCTAAACAGAGGAATAGGTTTGTAAGAGAGGCTGAGAAGGAATGATCAGAGAAGTAGTACAGAAGACAAACCATGAAAACAAACTGATGAAGAAGGAATAGTAAGTGAAGAGATGGGGGCACTGAGAAATTTAGAATGTCACTTTGTAAGAAGCTATAAAGTTCATCATTGTCAATATCATGATCATAATAATCATCATCAAAATCATAAGAGAGTATTTGCTGAAACTCCCTCAAATTCCTGATTCCAATTAAATATAAAGTGTAAATATATTACCTGTTTTTCACAAGCCAGTATTCTTTCCCATTAAGAACACCATAGCCAACCACAAGTACACCATGATTCACATTCTCAGTACAGGATGGTTCATAGTAGACACCTGAGAATCAATTGGGTAGGAAAAAAGAGTGAATACTATAGGATAATAAAGGGCATTTAAAAACTGTATTACTTTTTATTAGCCTGCTTTGACTACATAGCAAGATTAATTTAAAAAGTTAAGGACATGGCCGGGCGTGGTGGCTCAAGCCTGTAATCCCAGCAGTTTGGGAGGCCGAGGCAGGCGGATCATGAGGTCAAGAGATCAAGACCATCCTGGCCAACATGGTGAAACCCCCGTCTCTACTAAAAATACAAAAATTAGCCGGGCGTGGTGGCACGCTCCTGTAGTCCCAGCTCCTGAGGAGGCTGAGGCAGGAGAATTGCTTGAACCCGGGAGGTGGAGGTTACAGTGAGCTGAGATTGTGCCACCTCACTCCAGTCTGGCAACAGAGTGAGACTCCATCTCAAAAAAAAAGAAAAAAGAAAAAAAAGTTAAGGACGTATACTCTCATGCATAAACTAGGGCTCATAATTATTTGCCACCAATGCTGTATTTGTCAGTGTTCTTGCCAAGCTTAGGATCACTCCAGTCATGGTTCTCCCAGAAACCTTGTTTGATAAGCACACCACCTTTTTCTAAGTATTTTTCTTTTCTTTTTTGTTTTTTTTCTAAGTATTTTTAAACTTGCACACAATCAGTTATTGTAATTCTCTGTGTATACAGACATATCTCATTTTATTGTGCTTTGCTTTATTGTGCTTTGCAGATATTACCTTCTTTTTTTTTTTTGTAAGGAACAGAGTTTTGCTCTGTTGTCTAGGCTGTAATACAGTGGTATGATCATAGCTAACTGTAACCTCAATCTCCTAGGCTCCAGTCATCCTCCTGCCTTGGCCTCCCAAAGCACTGGGATTATAGGCATGAGCCACTGCACCCAGCTAGATATTGCATTTTTTACAAATTGAAGGTTTGTAGCAACTCTACATTCAGCAAGTCTATTGGTACCATTTTCCCAAAAGCATGTGCTCACATTGTGTCCTTGTACCACATTTTGGTAATTCTCACAATATTTCAAACTTTCTCATCATTATTATATCTGTTATGCTCATCTGTGATCAATGATCTTTGATGTTACTTTATAATTTTGGGGGTGAGCTACAAACCACACCTATATAAGATAGCAGACTTAACCCACAAATGTTGTGTGTGTTCTGACTGATCCACGGACTGGCCACACCGCTGTCTCTCTCTTCAGGCCTCCCTAATCCCTGAGACACAATGATATTGAAATTATGCCACATAATAACCCTATAATAGCTCCTAAGTGTTCAAGTAAAAAGAAAAGTTGCATATCTCTCACTTTAAGTCAAAAGCTAGATGTGATTAAGCTTAGTGGGAAAGGCATGTTGAAAGCCAAGACAGGCCAGAACCTAGCCTAGGCCTCTTGTACCGAACAGTCAGCCATGCTGTGAATGTAAAGGAAAAGTGCTTGAAGGAAATTAAAAATGCTACTCTGCTGAACACACAAATGACAAGAAAGTGAAACAGCCTTATTGCTGATACAGAGAAAATCTGATTGGTCTAGATAAAAGAGTGAGCCAGCCAAGCATGCCCTTACGCCAAAACCTAATCCAGAACAAGACCTTAACTCTCTTCTATTGTAAGAAGGTTGAGAGAGGCGAGGAAGCTGCAGAAGAAAAGTTTGAAGGCAGCAGATGTTGGTTCATGAGGTTTAAAGTCGCCTCACCCCACCCCGCCCCGCCTTGCCCTGCCCTGCCCTGCCCTGCCCGGCCCTTCCCCTCTTTCTTTCTTCTGTCTTTCTTTCTTTCTTCCTTGTTTTTTAGAGACAGGTTTCCACTCTGTTGCCCAGGTTGGAATGCGGTGGTATGATCATAGCTCACTGTAACCTCAGATTCCTGGGTTCAAGGAATCCTTCCGCCTCACCCTCCCAAGTAGCTGAGACTACAAGTGAGTGCCACCATACCTGGCTAATTTTTATTTTTATTTTTATTTTTTGTAGAGATAGGGGTCTTGCGATGTTGCTCAGGATGGTGTCAAACTCCCAGGCTCAAGCAATCCTCCTACCTCAGCCTCCAAAGCTGGAATTACAGGCATGAACCACCGTGCTCAGCCAATATCCTTTGTTTCTTTCTTTAAATTCTAATTATTTTTTATTTATTTATCTTTTTACCACTTCTGTAGAGGAAGAAAGAAGGATGACTCGCATCCACACCAACAGACACTGGGCCTTTATTGGCCACAACTTCTTTCAGGACATCTTCTCTGCCATAAGGAAGTTCAGTATACTTTGAACATGTGGCAGCACGATATTTTGAGTCATATTGACACTTCTGATCCTGCAAAAAGAAGTATAAAGCAGATAAAGAAGTATACTTCAACTCCTTTATAAATCACCAGTATCCTAAGCCTAGATTTTAAATATGTCTTCTTTCCTTTCTTTAACTTTTTCATGTGTCTAATGTTCCTTCCTTTGCAAATCTTCCAAATCCTAACAGTCTCGGATTTCAGCAATAATGGAGGAAATACAGAACTATTCTATTCTTTCAAATTGTGAACATCCTCATACAGGCAAAACTTGCCAGGGCAATGTCCCCTCGACTCTGAGGTGGACTGTAGGGAAATATTACATAGAGATAAAAAACTCTAGGTGAGAGCTTTAAAATCTTTTTGATGCCTGCAAGATGATCTGCAGTTAAAATGATGGTATATAAAGACCATATAATATGGGAAACACAAGTGTATTTCAAGTGGGAAAAGGAAAGTTACAAATTCATGTTTGTTGTATATACAACTATGTTTTGTATTTATTTATATTATTTATTTTTTGAGACAGGCTCTCCCTCCATTGTCCAGGCTGGAGTGCAGTGGCACAATCATGGCTCACTGCAGCCTCCATCTCCTGGGCCAAGTGATTCTCCCATCTCAGCTTCCTACGTAGCTGGAACTGCTACTCAGGTGTGCACCACCATGCCTGGCTATTTTTTTGATTTTTAGTAGAGGTGAGGTCTCACTATGTTGCACAGGCTGGTCTCAAACTCTTGAGCTCAAGCAATCCTCCCACGTCGACCTCCCAAAGTGCTGAGATTACAGATGTGAGCCACCACACCGGGCCAACTATGTTTTTTAAGTGCTTAACAGGAAAATAACTTGAAAGAAATAAACCAAAATAATAGTGGTAAAGGTAGAAGGTTTTTGAGTGATATTTTTATATTTTTAAAATCTTCTGTAACATGGACACAATCCTTAGGCTATCGTTATATCAAAATGTATAATGAATTTGCGAGGAAGAGGAGAGTATTACTTAGCTTCTCGGTGGGTGGAAGAATGATGTGGTTAATGATCTGAGAATAAGGTTGAGCATGGGAGGCTGCAGAAGAAAAAGTTTACAGTGAAGTAATTTTAAGGATAGTTTGCTTAAAATCTGTTTTGTTTAATTTTGAGACAGAGTCTTGCTCCGTTGCCAAGGCTGGAGTACAGTGATGTGATCTCGGCTCACTGCACCTCTGCCTCCTGAGTTCAAGTGATTCTCCTGCCTCAGCCTCCCAAGAAGCTGAGACCACAGGCATGCGCCACTATGCCTGGCTAATTTTTCTATTTTTGGTAGAGACAGTGTTTTATCATTTTGGCCAGGTTGGTCTCAAACTCCTGACCTCAGGTGATCCACCCACCTTGGCCTCCCAAAGTGCTGAGACTACAAGCGTGAGCCACTACACCCAGTCATTAAAATCGGTTTTTAAGCATGAGTGCTACTTGCTTATTTGTACTACTGATATATTAAGAAGAGTACTTCATCAGAAAGAGAACTCTTGAGAATTTAAGAATTCCTGTACAGGGTTCTCTCTCATACACAATACTGCTTCTCAAGCAATTGGCGTGGTGGCAAGCCCAGTGCAGTCAGTCAGTGGATAACATGAGATCATGGGGCAGCACAAAAAGTTTGCTTGTGACACACCGTGGCTTTGTAGGGATAGGAAGCGTCTGAGTCGATGCCGTTGTTATCAATGATGTACTGGAAAGCCCTTGTCATGAAGCCACCATTGCAGCCTTTGTTTCCATATTTTTCAGTTGAGCAATCCACCAGGTTCTGGGCACTGAGAGACACCAGCTTTCCTGTTTTCAGCTTCAGCTGTGCTTCCAGGGCCCCCACAGCACTGAAAGCCCAGCAAGCACCACAAGAACCCTAAAACAGATACAACGTCACAAACACAAATCACAGAAAATCATTCGCAATGACTTCCATAACCCAAACTGGACAACGCTCAACTACATCAGCTCTGTCCCGAGTTCCCAGAAAGAGCTCCGCCACTACAGTTTCCTTCTGTCTTTAACAGTGGGAATGAAGACTAAATACTTGATGGTTATCTAGGCAAGGTCCAACCTTGATAGAGATTTGCGGTTGACCAAGCTCAGAGCATAATGACCATATTCAAATATACTAAGAAACAATACTCACTGAGCATGTACCAAATTGCACCTATTTTCACACGTAAGTAAGGGAGATAGTTGCCTACAGTAATGAGATTTTAAGAGAAGCTAGGATGATTTCCTTGACCTAAAATACCCTTTCTCCTGTCAAATGATGCCTGAAACATAAGAAATTTAATCCTAGGTTGGCATTTTTCAAACCTTTGTCATGTTCAGACTTTTTTTGATCAAAAAATATTTTACAAGGAGGCATAAACAAACAAAAAAAGGCAAAGCTGATTTAGTTTTAAAAGGGGCAGAGTGTCCAGAGCCCCATCATAATTGTTCTCTTTCTCTCTCCTCCCCTCCTCCCACTTTGCTCTCCACCAAAAGGAAGGAAATTGACATTGCTTTTGATTGAAGCAAAATTGTTCACTAAAATGCAAGCACCCAGAGAAAGGAGTTCATTAACTTACTCAGAGTTAGCATCTAAATATGTGGTTTATTGGGTCTTCTAAAGCTGTTATTTTAGAGAACCTCGGGTAAGAAATCCAAAACTAGTTGAAAGAAAAATATGTAGGTGGAAAAGAATAAGAGATTAGTAGTACCATTTACCTCTTTTTTTTGGTTTGAGACAGGGTTTCCCTCTGTCACTCAGACTGAAGTGCAGTGGTGCGATCATGGCTCACTGTAGCCTCAACCTCCCAGGCTCAAGCAGTCCTCCCATCTCAGCCCCTCAAGTAGCTGGGACTACAGGAGCACACCATGCCTGGCTAATTTTTATTTTTATTTTTATTTTTATTTTTTGTAGAGACAGGGCCTCACTATATTGCCTAGGCTGGTTTCTAACTCCTGGACTCAAGCGATCCTCCTGCCTCTGCCTTCCAAAGCACTGGAATCACAGACATGAGCCACTGTGCCTGGACACCATTTACTTCCTAATAAATTTTTACTTTCTTCATTGATCACAAGCTGGGGTAGCTGCTCAGAATGCTCTGATTCCTCTCACTTACCCTGACCTCTATGGTGATACATGTGTTTTACCTCTAACTAATTTAGGATTTTTGCAATTTTTTAAAATAAGCAAACTAAAGGAAAATACAACAGCATAGGAACAATAATTTTACAAGGCACATATTTCATATTCTAACAATGCAAGACTAACCATGAATGAACTTGAGTGGCACAATTTATAGATCACTCTAGCTCTAGTTCTTTCTTCTCCTTCAACTTTGAAATTCACAAGTGAAATGGAGAAACTTCCTGATCACCAGGGCTCTCTCACGCAACACTGCTTCTCAAGCAATTGGCTTATTGGAGAGTCCAGTGCAGTCAATGCGTAGCATGAGCAATGAAAGTCTGTGTTAAACACCTATTTGCTTAGTTCAGTGTTTGTCTAAGTAGGTGGTTCTATGATCACTTAGAAAAGCACTGTGGAGGCTGACCGTGAGGGCTCATGACTATAATCCCAGCACTTTGGGAGGTGGAAGTGGGAGGATCACTTGAGCTCAGAAGCTTGAGACCAGCTTGGGCAACATGGCAAAACCCATCTCTACTAAAAATACAAAGGAAAAAAAAAAAAAAGCAGGGTGTGGTGGTGTGTGCCTGTAGTCACTATATAGGCTGAGGTGGGAGGATCACTTGAGCCCAAGAGGCAGAGGTTGCAGTGAGCCTAGATTGCACCACTGCAGTCCAGCCTGGGCAAAACAGAGGGAGACTCTGTCTCAAAAACAAAAAAACAAACAACAACAACAAAAAACACTGTGGAGAATCCAGTTGTCCCTCAGTATCCACAAGAGATTGGTTCCAGGACCCCTGAGCATACCAAAAGTCAAGAATTTTCAAGTTCCTTATATAAATGACTGAGTATTTGCATATAATCTACACATCCTCCTATATGTGCTTTTTTTTTTTTTTTTTTTTTTAAAGACATGATCTCACTCTATGGCCCAGGCTGGAGTGCAGTGGCAAGATCTCAGCTCACTGCAATCTCTGCCTCCCAGGTTCAAGTGATTCTCCTGCCTCACCCTCTTGAGTAGTTGGGATTACAGGAGCCTGCCACCATGCTAGGCTAATTTTTGTATTTTCAGTAGAGACAGGACTTCACCATGTTGGCCAAGCTGGTCTCGAACTTCTGACCTCAAGTGATCTTCCTCCCTTGACCTGGAAAAGTGCGGGATTGCAGGCGTAAGCCACTGTGCCCGGTCTTCCCACATACTTTACTAACTTTTTTTTTTTTTTTTTTGAGATGAAGTCTCGCTTTGTAGCTCAGGCTGGAGTGCAGTGGTGCGATCTCAGTTCACTGCAACCTCTGCCTCCCAGGTTCAAGTGATTCTCCTGCCTCACCCTCCTGAGTAACTGGGATTACAGGCATGTGCCAACGGGCCCAGTTAATTTTTGTATTTTTAGTGGAGACGAGGTTTCATCATGTTGGCCAGGCTGGTCTCGAACTCCTGGCCTCAGGTGATCTGCCCACCTCAGCCTCCCAAAGTAATGGTGGTATGGGCGTGAGCGCCTGGCCTATTTTTTTATCTTCACCTTTTTCTGGATATTTTTGATCCACAGTTGGTGGAATCTGCAGATATGGAACTTGTGGATATGGAGGGCCAACTGTATAAATAAAATATAATATGTGATCCTTGCCCTTAAGGAACTTATAATTTAGTTGGGAAGACAAGAATAACGAAAATAATGAGAAAGTAACACGTGGGACTGTAAGATTCACTATCAAATTCTGTAGCTAGACTAAGCATTTAAAGAGCTCTACTTAGGGTTCAGAGGCTTGGGATGGTAATACTCACTTGATATTTCACTTCAGTAACACACCCTTTCTCTCTCCAGTCCACAGAATCCGGCAATATCTGATTAGCGTTTGACTTATATGTGATATTTCTCTGCCACTGGCTGGGAACTCTCAGGGAACTCATCAAAGACATCACTTCTTCACTGGTCTACAAAGCAAATATACAGTCAGGCATCGTTTAATGACTGGAATATGTTCTGAGAAATGCGTCGTTAGGTGATTTTGTCATTGTGCAAACACCATAGCGTCTACTTACACAAACCTAGAGCGTATCGGCTCCTACACACCTAGGCTATATGGAAGGGCCCGTTGCTCCTAGACTACAAACCTGCACAGCATGGTACTGTACTGAAGGTTGTAGGCAATTGTAGAACAATATGAAGTACTTGTGTATCTAAATATATCTAAACATAGAAAAGGTATAGTGAAAATACAGTATAAAAAGTAAAAATGGGGGCTGGGCACAGTGGCTCACACCTGCAATCCCAGCACTTTGGGAGGCCGAGCTGAGCAGATCACCTGAGGTCAGGAGTTCGAGACCAGCCTGGCCAACGTGGTGAAACCCCGTCTATACCAAAAATATAAAAATTAGCTGGGCGTAGTGATGTATGCCTGTAATCCCAGCTATTCGGGAGGCTGAGGCAGGAGAATCACTTGAGCCTGGGAGGCAGAGGTCACAGTGAGCCAAGATCGTGCCACTGCACTCCAGCCTGGGCAACCGGTGAGACTCCATCTCAAAAAAAAAAAAGAAAAAAGTAAAAATGGTACTTCTGTATAGGTCATTTACTATGAAAGGCCTGGAGTTGCTCTGAGTGATTCAGTGAGTGAGTGGAGAGTGAATGTGAAGGCCTAGGATATTACTGTAGACTTTATAAACACAGTGCACTTAGGCTACACTAAATTTTTCCATGGTCTAAAACACCAAAAGCAATGCAACAAAAGGCCAAAATTGGACAAATAGGATCTAATTTAACTAAAGAGATTTCTGCCACAGCAAAAGAAACTACCATGCAGACTGAACAGGCAAACCTACAGAACATTGGGAGAAAATTTTTGGCAAACTGAGCTCACTTGACGAAGGCTAATATCCAGAACCTATAAAGAATTCTCAATCAAATTTACAAGAAAAAAACCAAACAACCATCAAAAAGTGGGCAAATGGATATGAACAGACCTTCTCAAAAAAACAATTTCAAGTACAGCCAAGCAGACCAACAGAAAAAATGCTCATCATCAACTTTCACCATTCAAGAAATGCAAATCCAAAATCCACAATATGATGTACCATCTCACACCAGTTTAGAATGGGCAATCATTAAAAGAATTATCAGGAAAGCAACAAGTGGCTAGATGAGAGGATGTGGAGAAATAGGAACTACTTTTACACTTGTTGGTCGGGACTTTAAAACCTACTTCAACCAGTTGTGAAACAGTGTGGCAATTCCTCAAGGATCTAGAACTAAGGAATCCCATTGACCAGAGCTATTCACCCCATTACTGGGAGTATACCCAAGGATTATAAGTCATGTGTAAAGACACCTGCACAATATGCTCTATAAAAGACACATGCCACACACGTATGTTTATTGCGGGCACTTATATCCACAATAGCAAAGGACTTGGAATCAAACCACGAAATGTCCATCAAGTGACAGACTGGATTACGAAGAAAAACATGCATATAACACATGGGAATTTACTATGCAGCCATAAAGAAAATGATGACGTTCGTTCCCTTTGTAGGACATGGATGCAGCTGGAAACCATCAATCTCAAGCAAACTATCACAAGAACAGAAGCCAAATACCGCATGTTCTCCACTCATAGGTGGGGGAATCTGAACAATTGAGATCACTTGGTACACAGGAAGAGGGGAACATCAACCCCACACATGATTATTTGGGGAGGGGAGGGAGCGGGCAGGGATCAGCATTAGGAAGGATATACCTAATGTAAATGGACGAGTTAGATGGGTGCCACGCGCACACCAAATCGGCAGCATGCTATACAGTATGTAACAACCTGGCTACGTTGTGCACATGTAGCCCTCAAGAACTAAAGTATAATAAAAAATTTTAAAAGTGTA